TCTGGAGGGCTCTGTGAAGGGCTAATGTCGAACTTATTTCTCTACAGGATAAGGTGGGTGGATGAGATACCAATTCCTTCTCCAGCCAAGGGCTCACCCTATCCCTCTCAGGACTCACCATCATCTCTTCCAGATCTGGGTCCTCACTCACACACACCCCTGCTTCAGAAACAGCTAAATCTGTACCCCAATCTTAGTTCCAGGGTGTGGGTAGGAATGGGGGGATGCACTGCCCAAGGATGCAGCACCCCTGGCCCTTCCCTGCTGCACAGGTGCTCAGGCACCAAGGTCTCTGCCTCTAGTGTCTCTTCCCCCTGGGCTTCTCCTCCCAGGTGAGCTCCTGGCTGTGTTGTCAGGCCTCAGCTGCAGGGTCTCATCTCAGCTACCCACAGGAAGCTCCTCCGGGGTTGTTTCCCCCGAAGCTGACATGTCATGGAAGGTAGCATGGGAGGGAAGGATGGAAGGAAGTATAAAGAGACAGACGGGAAGAGAACACTGTATTTTCTACCCAAACCTGCATCTGTCCCCAAATGCCCCTTTCCTCTGGGGAGAGTTGCCTTTCTACTCATGAAGCCCTCTGACACACCACTGTTTTCATCCTGTCTCTCACTCCCTTCCCTACACAACCAGCCACTGACATGATATCAGTTCCTTCTCTGGTGCCTACTCTGGTGCCTGCCTGGTTCATTGCAAACCTCGCCCCCCAGTGCCTAGAAGCACAGTCTCTGAGATGTGAGCATCCCAGGGTCGCTATGGAGTCTCTGGGTGCAGGATGAAGACGGTGGACCTTCCATTTCTATTTCTTTCCTTTTTTTTGTAATTATAGCTTTGACCTGTTTGACAGTGCACTTGACATACATCATGTGCAACATGTGATATACAGAGGTACAAGTATAGAGATCAATAAACGATAGTAGATCAGTAAATAAATACCGGTAAACATGTTTTCAGCCAGAGGTGCAAACGTTATTTTGTGGACACAGGTCATGACTAAAAAAAGTCTGAGAAGCGATGTACTGCATGGTTGACACAGGTCGTAATAATGTATTGTACACTTGAAAGTGGTTACACAATCTCTTTAATGTTCCCACTACACACACATGAAAACAGTAATCCTGTGAGATGACAGACGTGCTCTGGAGCGTAACTGTGGTAACTATTTCACAATGCACACGTGTCACAACATCACACCAGACCTGGTGAGCACATCTGATAGATCTATCAATTCAACCTCAAAAAGCTGGAAAAGTACTAAAAAAAGTTAGAAAACAAAAAGGGGAGGGAGTCCAACAAAGGCAGACTTCAAATGTAAAAAGCTAATAAATAAACTCATGGAAGCTTTTCAGGGCCTGCTGCTGCCCACAGCAGCACCTAGGCGCCTCTCTGTCAGCCCTACCCCCGACGCCAGGCTCCCTCCAGGACAGGGGTCTCTGCTCCCCCAATACCCATTCCATCACTCTCCAGGTACTCCTGCCACCCCCTTCCGCCACTCAAGTCCCCCATCCCTCCCTCCTGGAGAGATTCCCCTAAACCCTCCTTCCCTCCTACATCCCTGCACACGTGGCATCTGTGCACGAAGCGTGGCACCCACTGCTGACCACAGGGACCACCACCCCTCTGCAGCACAACGTCCTTTATGAACAGTGGGTGACCAATAAGTGACCGATGGAATCATCAAAGCAAAAATAGCTGTTAACAGCTTCTACTCCTATCTCTTCTGGAGAAATGACTCTCATTTCAAGAGAGACATTCAGGCTCTTAATCCAAAGACAGGCGTAAGGAAGAGACAGACAACCAACCAAGAACTGAACAGGCAGAGCCTCTGCCCACACCCACCTGGCAGCTGGGGCCATGCTCTCAGCCACAGAAGTCTAACTGGCATTCCCACTGCAATTGGCCCCAACTACTACCATAGATGCTAAATTAACAGCTTTATAAACTGTACTCATTCCTGACCCAAAGTATCTATACATATGTACAGAGTACCAAAAAAAGTATGCATGTTTTAAGAAAAAAACTATTAATCATAATAATCTACACCGATAACATTTATCTTGCATATTGTATCTTGGATCTCTTATGAAAGCAGAAGTCAAATGTGACTTGAGTATCACAACTTCAGTGCAGTTTTTTCCTTTCTTAAATTGAGTATATATGTACGTGTACATATATGTACACACGGACACATATATATCTGTGTCCATCCTAATAGGGAGGTAGGGAGACAGAGGGATGCAGAAAAGTACAACTAGTTATTGTCTGGGCTTGACTCTGTGTTGCAATGTCTAAAAAATTACACCCTTTAGCAATAAAATTCATACAAGTACTGTGAATAAACAACAGTGTACAAGCCCAGCAGTAATATAATCTGCCCTTTTTAAAGATCATACGGCTATCGTTAGGATAATTTTTAGCTCCTTAACTTTCTATATGAGGTTGAATAATGGCCACCCAAAGATGTTAAGTCTTAATCCCTGGGACACATATATGCGACTTTATTTGGAAAAAGTATCTTTGCAGATGTGACTAAGTGAAGAATTTCAAAGTGACATTAACCTGGCTTATATGGGTGGGCCCTAAATGTCCTCATGAGTGTCCTTATAAAACAGAGGCAGAGGGAGGTTTCACACAAATGAACAGAGGCTGTGGGAAGAAGGAAGCAGAGACTGGAGTGATGGGTCCACAAGCCAAGGAACGCTGGCAGCCACAACAGGCTGGAAGAGGCCAGGAAGGATCCTCCCCTAGAGGCTCTGGAGAGAGCACAGCCCTGTCAACTTCTTGATTTCAGACTTCTGGCCCCCCAAACTGCCAAGTTACCTGTTTCCCCTCTGGAATATATTTCCAAGCATGGTGAGCACTTCCTTGGTGGCTGTGAATGATGCCACCTTTTTCCTGCAGCCTCCCTCTCTCTTCACTCTCCCTGCCCCACCCACCTCCACCCCTCATGACCCACAGGGAGCAGAGTCACCAGCAGCTCCCTCCAAGATCCATTCCCAAGGTTGAAACAGCCACCCTAGGTTTTTGTCCCTCCAACCTCTTTGTCAAAGTAGGACCCCAGGAAGCTTGGGTAATTGGCTAGCAAATGTCTACAATGCAGGCCCCTCTGGACAGAAAGGAGGGTCCAAATGGCCCTTCCATGAGGCGGGACCATCATTGTCACAGCAGCATGAGTGTCACTGTCATAATAGCCAGTGCTCACTTCCAACACACTGGGCTCAGGTGTGTACACAGGACCTTCTCTGGGGGCCCTGCCTGCACTTCACACTTGTGAGCAAACACAGTATTTCCAAACACATCTCCCAGCTTGTTTCTGTCCTTGATCTTCCTCCAGTTCATCCTCCTCCCACTGCGGACACAGCCAGGGGAAACCCCTTCAGCCTCTCATCCTAACACCAGTCAGTCCAGTCTTGGACGATCTTGGAGGCCTTCTGTGAGACAGGCCTGGTGTGGTAGCCCCCAAAATGCCCCCCC